AGTAGCAGTAGCAGTAGTAGTATTAAGTAGTAGTAATATATAATAATAGTATGAGCGTTAGTAATAATAACAAGTTACGGGGGCAAAGTCGGCCGCTGCATTTCGCATATTTTAGGAATACATGAGTTTGGGTCATAAGGAATATAGTGAGAAAGTTGCAACATGGTTATTACACGACTCGTTTTACGCTTCCTTGAAACTTCATTTCTGAACTAAGTACAATTTGTACTCAGATAAAGATATGAAATGGAATACCGTGCACATACTCGAAGGACCGCAGTAACGTGACTAATTAGTAGTTATTGTTTTTGCAAGATCACTGCATCTTCGGTTCACTCATTGCAAAACCTGTTGACTGCACTGTACTATTGTCATATTCAAGTTTGATTTGGAATTAAAAAACACTCCGCCTAAACAGCTCCGACCATCGTTATCCGTGAGTGTAGTAATACAACTGTCAGTCATTGTAAATATAATGTTCTGTCTGCTCGTGGCCAAGCACGCCATGAATAAATTTAACTTTAGCGAGACATCTTCAGGCTATTTTGGCTCATATTGTACGCTTCCAAAGTTCAACTTAGTAAATAAGCAGCTGGAAATTCAACAATGAAATCAGAACACCGAGGTACTCTACTTGATAGGAATATTTAAACTAGACATCTTGCTTCATTTCCTAAACCTTTAGTAGTTAACAGACCCTGGAAGTTCTTCATTCAGCTGGTTCACATTTGTCCTTAATATTGTGCATACAAGAAATGGCGCACACTAAACGTGGACATCGAGGCATTATACTTGATAGGTATATCTAAACTGTACATTCTGCTTGATGCCCTAAAACCTTTACTGTATCAATGAATGTGTTTGTAGGGCTGACCACGTCAACTTAAATGCACAATGCGGCGAAAGGCTACAACCTAATGCACATACCAACGGAAACCAGTTGTACTGCAACATAGGGCCATAGGGCATTATGTAATACATGTTCAGGAAAGACAACTGACACATTAAAATGAAGGGATACCACTATAAAAAATAGTAAAAACAAACATAGCACAAAGTGTTTCTAAACAGATTTGCAATCTTTGCTCCAGCAATATTATCCAACAAGAACTAAGCGTATCTGTATATTTGTTGTCTATTTTCCAAATAGACGCAGTGGTGGTAGTAGTAGCAGTACTAGTAGTTGTAGCAGTAGCAGTAGCAGCAGCAGCAGCAGCAGCAGCAGCAGCAGCAGCAGTAGTAGTAGTAGTAGTAGTCGTTGTAGTAGTAGTGGTAGTTGTGGTGGTGGTGGTAGTAGTAGTAGTGGTGGTAGTAGTAGTAGTAGTAGTAAAGGCAGTAACACTATTAGCAGTAGCAATAGAAGTAGCATTGCATTGCCCACGTCTCACCGGTACGATGATTCGACGAAAGGCAGGCAGTGCCCGGCAGCTCTGCTGGCTGCATCTCCCATCGGCGACCTTTGAAGCACTAACTCCTATAACTATGTAACTATGTATGACACCACTGCGCCACACTGCTGCCAGCTGTCAAAAACGCCTTGGCCGATCATCATCCCGAGCTGTACTGCATCCATTCTGCAATCCTCATCCCGACACTTGCACTCCAGGTCGAGGCTAGATCACCTCGTCTTCAGTCCATCTCAGACATGTTGAATCGATTGGCAGGAGCATGTGTATCGTTCTCGTGCCAGGCAAGTGTTTGAGGACTGGCCATGACAGAAACGGAAAGTTGTGCCGAAACTATTTGGTTGCCGGCCTGATGGCTGTCATCATCATCGCCAGCAGTGCTAGACCTATCATAGCGATACTGGCGACGGTTGCAATGAACTGTGCGCAAGTTCCCGTAATAGAAGTTGCAGTAGTAGTAATAGCAGCAACAGGAGCAGTAGTAGTAGCAATAGTAGCAGTAGTAGTAGTAGTAGTAGTTATTATTATAGTAATCGTCGCAGTACTCAGTCTGCTGCTGACGACGGCTGACTACTGCTAACTGCTTCTGTATCGTACTAGCTGCTATTACTGGTACCTGGTAACTACTACTACCGGTTACTGGTTACTCACTATTACTAACTGCCACTATCTACCACTGACAACTACTATCTACTACTAACTATTACTAGCTACTACTAGCCACTATGCACTACTAGTACTAGCACCACACAGAATAATAGTAGTAGTAGTAGTAGTAGTAGTAATAGTAGTAGTAGTAGTAGGAGCAGTACTAGTACTACTACCACCAGCATTGAAAATGCCAGTCCTGCTGTTCCTTCTACTAAGACTACTACTAACAACAACAACAACTACTACTACTACTACTACTACGGCGACGACGACTACTGCGAATGCTACTACTACTGCTACGGCTACTACGGCGACGACGACTACTGCGAGTGCTACTACTACTACTACTACTACTACTACGGCTACTGCTACTACTACTACTACTACTACTACTACTACTACTAAAACAATCAATTAACAATGATGAAAATAATCATGATAATGACAATGGTAATGATAATAAGACAGACG